CAATGACATTTCAACAAGTTTTTCAAACAACATACTAATTTTAACTTATAACTGTGTTAAATAATCTGAATTGAATATATTGCAGAAATGTAGTAATATACCAAGCTAAAAATAAATAAATTATTTATTTAAAAATAAATTATGATAATATTGGTTCCATGAATTCATAAATTTAATATATTGTATAATGCATTAAACATGAATTCATATTTAAAAGGAATTTTTGGAATAAAAGAATGGAAGGATACAAATCAGAGTCATTAATATAAGTGCTGGGCAATAAAATAAAAGTTAGATGAGAATTTAAATCAAAAACAAGGAGTAAAGAGGAAACAAATGGCAAAGTATTAAGTTAGATATATGCTGGGCGAAATAAAGAAAGAGAGATCATTTATAAGAGAACATAATGGTAAAAGAACTAAATATAGCTGGCAATAGAAAGAAAATGAAATAGTTTAAAGATAGTAATAAACAATATATCGTATTTACTTGCATATAAGATGACCTTGCATGTAGGACAAGGTGTGACTTTAAAGATCAAAATAAAAAATATTACATTTATTAATACAGTTCTAATTTTATTTCATTTAATCACAAGTAAAATATCAAATGAATGTAAATGCATACATTGTCCCACAAAAATTAATGTCATTTTAAACTTTAAGGAAAAATCTTGTAAAATCGACAACATAATTTGTTCATGTAAAGCTAGACAATCAAGAACCTTTTTTTGCCAATTCTTAACAGTCGAATCTACCTCTCTGTCGATTATGCTTATGAGTTTCTCCAAATTCTGATTTCCAAATAATCATCTGTTTTCACGTGGGAATGGATTAAAACTTATATCGGCCTCTCGTGTGATTTTGGAATTTCAATCTGGAATTTAATTCAAAAGCTTTGCTTTTTCTATTGCTATTCATCTTTGAATTGTTCTTGTATATTGTCAGGAGTAAATGACCGAGATAAAATACTTATGTTTTTAAATACAAGAGGATAAGCATCTGGTAAAAATGCAAATACACGGTTCACAAAAATTATTTGCAAAAGCATAAAGAATCTTTTGCTCGCGTTTAGGAATAGGACGATCTAGGAATTTCAAGCTGTGATAAATGAATAAAAATCTTGTCTTTTATGTAAGTAAATACAGTATATATACACACTTTAGAAAAATGAAAGGTGTAAAAAAACTTAAAAATTAAGGTGAACTAAAGTCCTAACATTACAATGAAAATTGAAATCAGGAAAAGAAAAGAATAAATTTTACATAGAAATTTGTAATGTTGAAACAATCTAATTGTTTGAATATATAGCTAAAGGTATTCATAAATATTAGTATGAAAAAATATAAAATGTATTGTTTTGTTATTTATCTTAATTTTTGATTTTATACATTCATTTACAGTGCCATGTTTGAATACATAAGATTTATTTCTCAAACTTTAAATTTATTTAGACAAAGTATCTGTGATAGATAGATACGTAAAATGAACACAGAGTTAGTTACATACATCTTCAAGGACAATTTTAATTTACAGTATGCAAACATTAAATTTCCTCACATTATAATTGCAGATTTGAATATTTTCCATATAAAAATTGATTATTTTAAATATTTGATAACAAGTTTTTCTTGCAATTGCTGATCTGTATGACTTTATTGCAACTGCTTACAATCTTTTACCAATTTAATCTTAAAATTTTTGTTTATACTATTCTTATAATAGTTATTCATCTGGTTTTTTTTTGCTTTTTTAAAATTCTTATTTTTAATTTTTAATTTGAATTTTTTTTAATTTCTTCTTTTGTTCTATATCATTATTTGGAAAATAGCTTTTACTTATCTGTTTATTAATAATGCTCATGCAATATTCAATAATGAACATTTATAAAAATTCTGAAAATTAAATTAGTTATGTGATGAAAAAGAGAGAAAAGGCTGATATTTTTCTAAGAAGTCTAAATTTGATGTTTTTTATAATATATTTTTTAATACTGTTATCTCCAACAGATTTTTATGTAGTATTGTGTAACCATCGCACATACAACATTAATATTTTAACATGTTTTTGACAAAAATAGATTGTTTAATTTTAATTAGGATTGTATATGATGATATTTGAAAGTCCAGATTAAACTTATTGAACAGTCAGCATTAAAAAAATTAATAATCTTCTGTTCTATTTAATAAGATTTATAAAATTCCCATAAAATGAAAAATTTTTGTATTTGTTTTATTAAATTATGTAAAACCAAAATTAACAAGAAACAGGAGCTGTTTGCTACAAAAACCCATAGTTATGGATCTTTTTGTTAAATTGCAAATGCTATTATTTTGGATTGTGTTTTTGATTTTATATAAAGATGAAACAACTTTACTATTAAGTTTTTAAATAATTTTATATTATATAAACACATTTTGTGCCTGGTTGCAAATTAATTTCAATGGGAAGACTAACAAATTCNTTGTGTAACCATCGCACATACAACATTAATATTTTAACATGTTTTTGACAAAAATAGATTGTTTAATTTTAATTAGGATTGTATATGATGATATTTGAAAGTCCAGATTAAACTTATTGAACAGTCAGCATTAAAAAAATTAATAATCTTCTGTTCTATTTAATAAGATTTATAAAATTCCCATAAAATGAAAAATTTTTGTATTTGTTTTATTAAATTATGTAAAACCAAAATTAACAAGAAACAGGAGCTGTTTGCTACAAAAAACCCATAGTTATGGATCTTTTTGTTAAATTGCAAATGCTATTATTTTGGATTGTGTTTTTGATTTTATATAAAGATGAAACAACTTTACTATTAAGTTTTTAAATAATTTTATATTATATAAACACATTTTGTGCCTGGTTATATTAATTTCATTCATTAAAAATATTGAGGCTTTTTTAATCTAACAATTTTACATTAAATTAAAGTAGAAAATTTTTGTAATTATATCTGTTTCAAAATTTTGTATAATATATACGTACATATAGTTTATTTATATAATGTTAAGGTGTTTCAAAATTATGTATTATTTGGTATTAGAGAAATCATTGAATTAGGATTTTTGTCTTTTATATTTTGCCTCCAATAAATATACATAAGCTAATTGTGATCTTTTGAGAGATTATTGGTGAATATTAAGTTTTGAGTTCATTCGGTTTGGAAGAGAGTTTTCTTATATTTTATATTAAATAGATTATGTAGATAGATATAAATAGTTAAGAGAGAATTGATGTTAATTATTATTATATTACTTGTTTCTTCTTAGAGCTGAATAAGTTTGAGAATTAGAGATATATAAAAATTTTATTAAGTAGTATTCTTCTTTATTTGTGGAGTTATTATGCTTCTTTATATTTTTCATGTTATATTCTGTTAATATAAACTTTCTTTGTAATTATTTTAAAACTTTGTTTACTTTTAAAGAAGTATAATCAAAAGCATACTTAATATTAATATGCAGAGGGATATAAAAGTAATTCGTGTTTATTTTCATAATATATTTAATTTAGGAAAAATTTTAATGAGGTAATAAGATAATCGATAATTTTCTTTGTTTCTAAGATTAATATGAAAAATTCAAAGACCTTTGAACTTTGTAGTAGATCTAAGTAAATTGTTTGAAAATTGTTTAATATGATATCATTATAATAAAAAAAAAATGTATATTTTTAAATCAGTTATTTCTAAATTACCTTGAAACATCAAAATTAAGTCTGCCGTAGAAGAAGGAAAAAATTTCTAATTTACTTCATATATTTTTTAAAAGTTAGTTAATTGGCTAGATTATATATTTTTATTGTCATTAGCCTAATTATAATAAAAATAAACTTTATTGAAATTTTGCCAAGTATATAAAATTATTCGCAAATATTTCTTACCGAAATTAATTTATTAGATAATTAATCTAATGAACTATAAAATTGCATTCTGATCTTTATTCTTTTTTTTATTTCTAATTAAAAAAAATTGCATTTTTAAAACTTGGTTTCTAGTAAATTTTGTGGATACTATGTTTTAATTTATCTGGGAGCTTAAAATATTTCGATAAGTAAAAATTTACATTCAGTTAAAAACAAGTTGGAAAAATCAATTAAGATCCTAACTGCATTGAACGCAGCAAAAATAAACGAAAATAATCCAAAACGAAATATTAAGTTAAACTGAGAGAGAGATTAGCAAATAACTGTAGTAATAAATTGCAGTTTTAGCTTCTTAATCAATACTATTTCACTTAACAGGAGAATTGGAAAATTGCCAAAAATGTCTTGTTCTTTCTCATTCATTGCTCTTTACTTCAACATTATTGATTCTTCCAAACGAAAAACTTGCCTTATATATATCTACATAATTAGTATTCGGCCAAATGTAATATTTATATTCTTTTGCTCAACGTAATAAATTGTCTTCTACTTTGCACGAGTCGGGACCAATTGCCAAATGATTAATTATCGAATGTTAAAATAACACTTGGAATACCCAATACTTTGTCTGATACGAATTATGAACTCTACTAATTATTTTTTTTTTATGGTTGAAAATTGTGTTAAGAAAAATGATTGTTAAAATCATAATTTATTTAGTTATTAATTTGTGAGAATGTTTGGTAGTCTTTCTGTGGTGAAATTTTGGATGAAATTAAAATATATATAATAAATTTAAATGAGATTTTAGTAGTAATATTCACCCGAAGATGGCGCTACCTTCCTTTAACATTAAGCGTGTAGCTTACATCTTTTTATAGCGATTCACCGAAACCTCTTGACCCTGTATGAGTGGTATGTGGAGAGTTATATTTAACTACATTTTTGTCGAAATATAATATCTTTTAATTGCCGGTTTTATATTCACTGGGCTAGAATTTATGTCATTATCTGTTGTTTGAATATTTATTTGTGTGTGTATTATGTAAAATCAATATATTCAATGTTTTGAAATGGAATTTCCTCCATTTTTTGAATGAGTATCATTATATGTTTTTTGTTGTTTTATAGGCAGCTGGAAAGAGAGGCAATAAGAGCAGGTGTCATGTCACCCCCTATACCAGACGATGTCCTGTCTAATACGGACTGATTCTATACATCATCTACCATCTGCTTCGTTCGTTCTTTGTATACAGAAGCAGCTGCTATACCTGACACTGCACTTGATATTTGGCATTCCAATTTGATCGCCTTCCGATTATTTTATGTTCCGAAGGCTAAATTAATACATGTTTAGAAGCGAGTATTTTAATTACTCACTCTTCTAGTGATATTGTAAATTATTTAAAGTAATGACAAATTGAAATAATATATCTATATATTATTTAATAAAACTTGTGTCTTTCGTTTATATTAAATGTATTTACAACATTGCTATGTCAACGGAATCGATTACTATTGTTCTGTAAAAGCTATTAGACCTATATAATATACGGCAAAGTTCTCCTCTTTAAAAATCTGTGTGTTCCCCTTTTTAGAGTCCCCTCGTGTAACAGCTGCTCCATCGCGACCATCTGCCTGCCCGGAGGGCTAAGTTGTCACCTGTGCCACGTGCCTACCAAACACCAGGAATTGTACGAGATAAAGAAACCAAAATTTGTTTACAACAAAGTTTCATAGTTTTTTTTCTTGCAGAGATAGGTTAAGTTTTATTTATTTTTTCTGTAAAAGTTTGATCGCGTTTGATATAGGTAGAGGAGCGAGTAGCATTAATATTTTTTACAGCTTCTTTTTTCCCCGCTTTGAGTTATTGCTTCAGAATTGACATACGTAACAAAATTAACAGCTGGCCAAACAAAAATGACCTGTATAGCCGAGAGTAAAGTAATAGCACTACATCCTGTGGGCTCCATATGGGTTACTTGACACAGCTCATCTTTCTTGCAGTAACTTCTCACTAATAAAGTACGTTAACATAATTATTTCATGTTTCGTAATATATAAAATTGAAACAAAACAAGGCTTATCTTTACGGGAAAGGAAAAGAAAAAAAAAAAAGAAAGAATCTGGAATGAGGTGTTTTCTTAAATGTCATGGGAGTTATGTGTACATCCTGTTTCGCATGTGATACACCTCTGTTTTGTTTATCGTCACCGTGGTAATATATTTCATTTTTTACTACTTTTTAAAACTATAATTACTGTTCTGCAGTCTTTGTTTATGTATGTTGCAAGGATTGACAGCACCCGTGTTTTACGTTTTATAGATAACTTGTAACTGGCAGCGTGTGACGAAACAGGTGAGTCGCCACCTGCAAATTATTATCACCCACGATAAATGCCACGTAAAAAAATTATCACTTTCTACTCAAATAACCAGTCGAATTTATTCTATTTTTCGGACCGGATGCTGTAGCAAATACTCTCTTTAATAAGAATTAAGACAAAAGGAATCAACTAAGCGAGACAAATTGTCGCCTAATTCTTCTAGAGGGAGAGTTCATCGACTGTGCTGCAAAGTCAAGTTTACTAGTTTGGACACTTTCCAGGACTAGTTTGATCTGTGCCAAGTTGGATTTTGTGCATGCACGTGTTTTGTGGGACCATACCAGATGGTTTATAATTATCCTTTTTATAAGCGGTGAATGGAGTCGAAATTACAATCTATCGGACAATAGCCTTCGACAGATGTGCTGATTTCTTTTGGCAGTAGATAGGAAAGAAAAAGCTTTATTTACTCTTTCCATTTACTTTATTATATTAAAAATCTTGCTGGAAACTTCCGTACGTGATCAGAATTACAGTTCTAATTTGATTTAAAAATAATAATAAACAAATATACGGATTTGTAAAAGAATTTTTTATATTTAATCTTTTATTGATTCTTGTATACAAGACCTCACTTGTAACCAAGACGACGTTTCGATAAAACAAACAAATCAACAATTCTTTGTCCACGAAAATTGATTGAATAATATAATAATTAATCACGTCTTTCTGAAATCTTACAAACAAGAGGGAAATAAATTCCACCACGACACCCATTGGGACTCTCTAAATATTAGGACTAGAAAAAAATTACCGAAAATTCGGTAAAGGTATTTATGAATGAGTGGCGGTCGTTATCTGCTGCCGTCCCATTGGTCCATTCCGCGTGACATAAGTCCTGAGGTGAATATCGATGAAGCACCCTTCAGAAGTCTGGATTATGCACAAACACAATCGAGTCCATATGCTCTATGCAGCCATATCGTAATGATGCACTTCGGCCGTTTCTTGTATTACATGCCCTGTAGACCGTTTTCTATCTAGGGTATGCTGGATAAAGCCAAAAATAATTGCCATGAGAAATATAATCATACATTTATATAACAAGTAATAAAGTTACCTGAGCTAGAAAGGTGGCCCTTTGTTGATCTTCGGAGAACCTGCGACGATCCAGTGTTCCGCCTCGTAACGGTAAAGTAGCGTAGGGGGCTGGATAGGCAGGATAAGTATCGGAAGCTGAAGGTGGCGGTGGCGGTAGGGGAGACCGGATTAAAGGTCTACTCTTATCCACATCTACGTAACGCTGACTGGACATATGAGGAAGGGTGTGGTTTCCTCCATAAGGATAGCGTTTATCTGTCACGCCTACAGAAATTAGCATGGTCAATAAAAAGTCTTTAATAACGATAAAAAATTAACTTGTCATTTATTCCCTCTTGTGCTGTAGGGGAAGAACGCAAGTTAACAGCCTTCTGTTAGAAAAAATAAACATGATGATGTATGCATGTTTTTTCACGTCGTAGTACTATGTTTTTATAGACACGAGAAGATAATTATAGCAACAATGCACGCATTGAACCTCCCTCTCTTTTTTATAGATATATCTATGAATTTTGTTAAACTGTTATGGTTTTTTCGTGTTAACCGAAGAGAGACGGGCACGCTCTGCCCTCCAAGCTTTCAAAGCGTTTTCACTTGTTTGTTATCTTTTGCCAAAAACGGAGGGAAATGTACTTTCTAGAATGATCTATAATGTTAAGTTCTTCGTAAGTTGATTTGCTAACCACTATAAAAAATCATTTGAAACATGAAATATTTAATATAATAAATTAATACAAATACGTGCTTTATATATAAAATATTTTATAAGAAAAATACTGATTCACACTTCCACTTTTTTGACTCAGAACATGACTACAAAAATTTGGCTATGTGCCATGACCCACTTCAAGAAATTTTAGAATGTTGAAGTTTTGAGATAACTACGCTTAGAGATTTTAATTATTCCTTCCTTTGTTTGCGTAAATTGACATTGAAATGACGTTACGAGTGAGAAACTTATTGGAAAATTATTCAAATGAAGCAAAGCTTCAACACATGCGAATTGGAACGATGCTGTAGTTGAGACAGTTTGTGAAACGTGGTTGTGTTTAATCAAAGACCACATGGCCACATTCGAGGGGCGTGGGCGTGTCTAATTGCGTCCATATTTACAAATTAGCTAACAGATCAGTCGTCTTTGCCCTACTTTACGTTACGGACTTCCTGTCTCGCTAAAAATTCATCAACTGACAAATTAAACTAGCAAACAAATCCATAGCCGGATGAAAACCTTCAAGGTTGGTGAACGTTAGTTTAAATGATTCTTCCGAAACTCTATCCCGTTCTAGTAATTCGAGATCATCTCGCTTAGTAGCAAATGTTTATAATTAAAACACGCACAAAAAATTAATTACCTGGTCTACATATAATATTCCAACAACGCAAATTTTATGTTTTTAGAAGATTATATAAAAGTATCTTATAGTTCTATAAATATATTTTATTTATAATAAATTATATAACTTAAAATGCTGAGAGTGTTTTACATAATTTGTTTTGTTTTTAACTTGTTTGTTACATTTTTTTATGTATATAAATTACTTTCCGGCAGAGCAGCAATATAATTCGTGTAAACCTACACCAAAACAGTTTCTAGTATGATATACCGTATTAATATATCATATTTTAAATAGTCATTAAATGTTTTGAATTTTGATACATATTAATTATATTTTTCCGTATTTTTGTATCATTTATTAAAAAAACTATTCGAAAATTAAATAATAATCAGCTGTAGCTCTATTAAAAGTTATTTTATTATTCATCGAATAAAGTATTAAAAATTATAATAGTGAATATATTAATGCAAAAATGAATGATGAATAATTTAATTTGCATCCAAAATTCAACAGAATTTCAGAAAAATCGATATTTTTATATATGAATTTTTAATTAAAAGATAATTGTTTGATTTAATGCGAAATAAAATATAAAATTATTAATTAAAAAAATTGTTTGTTAATTAAATCATTATTTGGCAGAATGAAATTTTATTGAATCGATTATTATAACTTACTTGCTAAGGCTGCTCTGTATTTTTTTTCTTCTCGTCTAACGTACAGACAAGCACCAAAGACAACCAATAGGACTATGGCCACAGATACTCCTATAGGAGCAATAACTGTTTCCCTGAGATACACAGGAGTGTCGTTTTCTCGTTCGTGTATTGGATAAGAAGAAGAATCAGACAGAGCTGCAAGAAAACATTAAACAACATTACTAGATTGGGTAGTTTAAACAACTTCCCCTTAACACCTTTAGAGTTGCTGCGGCCAATATCTGAATTCTATTCCATGCGGTTTATTGACGACTATGCTCCAAAGAAGAGCCGATCGATACTGACGCCATAGCATTTATCATGAACTCCTGACCTTAAGAAATAAGTATGAGTCCAACCGTTTTCTTCCCAGTGGATGGAAAAGTTGAGAAAAACCGAATTCATTTTTTTTACCTTGCTTTTTAACTAACTAAAAAGGTTACTATTCTTAGACTTACAGGAAATTATGTGTTAACCTATTTTTAACCGTAAACATTTCGCAATTTGTAATGTTTAACAAAAATGGTCGTTAATACGATTCTTTTCTAAGCGGATGTTTAAAACGTTTAATTTTTTAAATGCTATTTTATTTATAAATAACCTAATTAAAGAAGAGAAATTCCTTACCTCCACCTTCAGTTTTGACTGATAGCATCTCGCTAGAATCGCTCTGTCCCGCTTCGCTATAGGCTTTCAAATATAACTGGTACCTTGTACCTTCCCTTAAATTTGTTAACGAATATTGGTTGTGAGAATCGCGAGGCACGGCTAATTCCGTCCACGTTCCACTTTCTTCTCTGTAGAACAGAATATAATCTGTAAAGTTAATTTTATTAATTTAATCACGTCTAGGCAAATATTTTGAAAAATAAATAAAATTATCGTGATAACATTTAAGTCAGTTACACACAAGAAATATCTAAACAAAAAAATTTTTTTTATTGGTTTCGAGTAAGAAAAAATCTTACGTATTTCCTGTTGTTCTTCTTTACTTTTGTGGTCCCATTTTAAAGATATACTTGAGCGAGATCGGGACTCTAACCATAGATATGGAGGTAATGGAGGATCTGTATGAATAAACATATTAAGTCTAACGAAATTACATGTGTATATACTAAAACTTCTCTTAAGATTTTATACAAAATTTAGACCTTTTTCTGAAGTTTTCACTATGATTTCGTGAGAGGGAGGACTACTACCGGCGTTATTAAAAACCTGCACAACTACTGAATACTCTGTGGCTTTTTTTAAACCAGATAATCTGTATTCCTCCTCCAGATGCTTATTAAAATCGACCGTTTTATAAGTATACGAATCACTCGTGCCTTGGATTTTGTATCCCACGTAATAACCTTTTAATAACCCGTTCCATTGGTCCCTTGGAGGAGCCTAAAATATGAGTTGTTTGCATTAATAAAATTTGTCAAATTATTATTTTAATATCCTCTATCTATCTAATAAAAAAATATGAGATTAAAATTTAGACTGAAATAAGGAAATAAATTTTTAACCTAGCAATGAAACAAAACAAAGAAGGTAACATACTTTCCATTTGATTGTCAGAGCGCCAGCACCCTTTGCATCTACAGAAACATCAGTGGGGGGAGCAGACGGTGCTAAGGAGAAAATTTTATTACACTAACGAAATTTATTCTAATAAAAAAGTAATATATCCACTTTACCTGCTTCCTTGGTAATAAATTGGACAGACTCCGAAGGACTTCCTCTTCCAATCTCATTTGTAGCTAAAACACGAACAATATAGGCAGTACCTGGATGCAAGTTGTGTAAAGTCATTGTGTTTTGTGTTGGGGATACAGTTTCTTCTTCTAAACGATGGGAAGTTCCTAAAAATGACATAGACCCAATAAACATCAAAGAAAGATTTATGTATTAAAATATGAAAAATAAACACCATCATACCGGAATCCTTCCAGTATTGTATAATAAATTGAGTAATAGCACTGTTGCCATTATAAGGAGAGGTCCATCTAACGCTGGCACTCTGACTCCATGTCTGTTCGGTTCTGACATCCGAAGGAGATCCTGGAACTTCTGAAATTCAACACGACAGTTTTTAGAGGAATTCACTATACATCATTGCCACGCGATCTGGTCGTAGCTCACTTACCGAGTACGACTAATTTTACAGTTCTTTCGTCTTTGCCATAAGAATTCTTCGCAACACATACATATTGTCCATTGTCTCCTCTATCTGCATCATGTATATGGAGTTCCGACGTGGTACCTTTATCGGTAATACTTTCGAATATTTCGTATCTGTAAAATATTTTCAAATATTAGCATCATTCAAGATATAAAAATGGAGCAATTTAATGAGGTGATTTACAGATAAGCAAAGATGTCAAGCAGGTGATGTCATTTTTTTACATCTCCAGAAAAGTAAAAAATAAAGAGAAACTGTGAGAAAAGAAGACTTTAAAGACAACTTCCGTTCAGGAGCGGAAACGGAGGGTGTTGTGTGTCATCTCTGTAGTCATTTCCTGTGTCGTTGCAATAAGTTACTAACCACCTGTCTACCGGCAAGATTCATTAAATATGTAAGATCTATCTTTTACTATATTGCATCTAAATTTTATATAACCTAGAATAATGTATTTTTTATTTTCGTCTGAAACAGGTTTCATTTTTTTCCCTTTTAAGATTCCAAACTGTTTTCTCTTTTGAAAAATAAATCATATTTTTGAACGGCCACAAACACTCAAAGTAGATGTTTCTATTACATATACATAATAAATAGATGATTTGTTGTTATACAACTTGGGTTACGTGATCATTCATGACGTCGAAAGTCGGTATTAAAATTTTCACCCTCTTAAATCAATAGCTTGACACTAAATGAATGGCAAATTACCAATCACGCAACCTTGTATATGAGCTTTATAATGTATATTATTTCGGACTTCCTGTATAAGTCACGTTAGTCGAATATTTTATTCTCCGTTATCCTTAACGTCAATGACTTATTATCATTTCATGTGAAATCTCGTGACTTTCGAAATATTTTTCGGCTGAAGGATTGTCTCTATAATAGCACGCTAAACCAAATCACCATTATAAATAATAATAAGTACAAATTACTTTAATATAATTGAATATCATTACATTGAATTAATTAGTTTTATTCATTTTAATTTTAAATCATTAAAATTTGTAAATTTTCACAACCCTTGCTAGCGAATAACCTTTTTTTTTTTTTTTTGGTTAATTTTGTGATTGCAAAATTTGAAATTGCATTCTCCTCGCTCCTGTATCTTTATTAACATTATATATTATATATATATTTCTAAATTGCAAGTCTGAAACTGAGGAAAAAAATGAGGTTATTTAGCACAATATCTTTTAGAAATATTGTTAATAAAAGTCGAGATATAGTATCAGTTAAGATTCTTTTATATATGATTAACGTATAAAAGAAGAGAATCAATCTAACCTTGAGCTTTGATGTTGTGTAATAGACTGATGGTTGTAAGTCCACGTAATTGTTGTCGGATTGTCGCCTACAGCATCACACCGTAATTTAGCCGTTTCTGCAAGCTTCACTGTATGGACGGCGAATTTCTGCTCGAACCTAGCTGCAACTGAATAAAAATGTAATGGTTATATCACACTGCGTAACAAACAATGCACCATTATACATTAGCAATTAAACGAACACGCTTGTTAGTAGCGCGATATGAGGTAAATTATGTAAGAGATAACCCATATACTTGTCAGAGTGATTGTTGCCAACTCGTTTTTTCCATAATAAGCCCCTGTAGCGGTTTAAGTATCGATTCGATACATTTTTCTCATTGAAATGAAGTTGCATATTTCACCAGCAACAATAAATTAGTCGGCAATTGACACCAAACAATGAATCTTTCAAACGCAGCAGTTCAACTAGAGGAAGGGGAAATCCAATAATATGTAGGGGTGAAGCGGAGACAGGCTACTATAGGCTACTTATCGATTTAACTCTGAGGATGAACGGGATTCGCCCTAAAAACGACACTTTGGAATGTTTATTCTTGCATCCAGTTTACCAGAAACCAAACATCTAGTTTTGCTTGTTATAGAGACACGAAATTGCAGCATCAATCAATAGAATTGGCCGGGTCCTTCAATGCAGAAAATGAATGCAGATCTTTTCACTTAGTCTATCCAATTTAAAAAATAAAAATAAAAAACTTTTTGAAGGTTTGTCGTTTCCGGGAAATCAAATAGGAGAAACTGCATATTTGTATGATGAATATAATGCTACACCCGGTATACAAAAATGCGAATCAAGCCCAAATATACTAAAAATAATATTTATTGGAATAAAATTTACAGTTTAAATACATGATATATTTATAATATTAATATATCTAACTTACCGATTCCATACTTACCGTGTACAGTTAAACTAATTGTTCTTATTAAATCGTTAGCCATCCCATTGGAAGCTCTGCACTCGTATGAACCAGAATCATTCAGCTGACTTGGACGAATAATCAATGACCCATTAGAAGCAAGAAAATATCTGCCTTCGGATTTTAGTACTGTAGATACCCTACCTACAAAAACAGCATTTACTCATTGTAGTACGTATTTATCGTTAGACGGAAGTTAAAATTAATGAATAATTTGCCTAATAAATTAATTTACAGAGCAGTAATCAGTTGCCTTCAGTAAATTATACATTATAAGTGTCATTTTTTATTACAGTTTTTCTAGAAAATTAAATTTAATATGAAGAAAATCAGCATTTAAAACTGATTATTTATCGCGATATATTTCTAAATTTCTGTAAAATCAATTATTTGCTCATCTCTTAAGAAGTAAGAAACTCTTCACATCGAAAATATGATAAGAAGATATTCTAAATATAGTTCAATAACTTGATCGAAAGGTATAAAGGTCATAAATGAAAATTTAATCAAAGTTGTTGAAGATGATAAAATTTTCTAGTCTTATTTATTAATTTCCTTTTGGTTAACTAAGGAAGATGCATATGATTTTCGAATTATTTAAAATTTTATCAGGACATATAAATGTATATAATCTATATAAACACTAATACTTTATCTCTTACTAACTACAGTACTGATATAATTCCTGAACAGTTGCAATAAAAACTGTCTATCAATTTATCTCTAAATTTACGTAACAAATCTATGAAGTAGAAAGAATACTTCGTAAAATACAATCTTATTTACGTAACTAGAAAATGCAATACAGTCAATCTGTTTCTTTTTAGTCTAAAATGAAGTACTTTCAATTTCCATATAGCAGGATAATCTAGACTTTGTCTTATATAAAATTACAAAAGAAACAAAGAAATCTTGTTTTCTGATTTTATAGAATGAAACGGATGATTGAACTTACCTTGTAATCTTCTCCATTTAATTATCGGTTGCGGATAACCCGCAGCTATGCAATCTATAACTACCATTCCTTCATTAGCTACTGACGTATCTTGCGGTTCTTTTAGCCAAACCGGTGATGCTAAAATATGAAAGAAAAAATCGAAATAGTATAAAATGACATTAAGTATCCAATTTTTTAAAAATTTTATTTTATAATATTTATTTAAATGAACAATTTCGTAAAATTTGGCACAGATTCGTGAGATAACCATCTTTTAGACAGTTTTATTGGCTTATCAGAATTCTATACAGCACAACTAAAAAAATATTAAATTTATTAAAAGAATTTCCTTCCTTCCTATGCTACTAACTTTCAAACATTCCTTATACAGCTAATTTCTTGAAAATTCGACAAATATGTTAAACATGCCTTACATTCGGCAACATTTTAACTGAATGAACAGTGTAATCTCTTAACATTAATCTAAGATTGTAAATAAAATTAGTAGTCAACTAGCATCTGCTTTCTATTTTATTTTACTTTTTATTCTATTGATTAACGTTAGTTTGTGTTTGTCTTCTAGATGCAAATGTGATAAAAATTCATTCAATTAAATAATTATATACCTTAATCAGTAATACTTTTCGATAATGTACCCAGAGACTACTACATTTTTTCCTCAGTTATTGATCTCACACAGTAAAATTCGGATAAAATTGTAGCATCCCAGATTCATCCCCAGCATCTCTCATTTATCATATCTCCTAAATGTTCGCAATGTATTATCTAATAAATAAATAAATTGAAAATAAATGCCGTATTTACTAACAAAACTAATTTGTGTTGTTGAATTTGCCTTGTTTTTTTCTTAAATACTTCAACAATGACAATCTAATATGTCGATTTTTTGGAATTCGATACTCCGTTGATATGCGGAGAAGACGTAAACCAGGATTTGGCACCTAGCCAAACTTTTCGATCCAAAACTCCCTATTAAATCATTAACTCTTTCTTAGTATTCTATAATAACTGTTGTATACGACGCAAAAATCTAAAATTTATTCAAAATAACTAATTTTAACCGGAAGCTATAACATTGTCTTTTTAGAGAAACTTAATTCTCCGACAATTGGCACATAACGCCTTTATCTACAAGAAAATTAAACAAATTGGGAGTACTTACCAAAAACGGATAGTGTTGCAGTAAATGTATCGCTACCAGCAGAATTATTAAGCACACAACTGTAATTTCCAGCATCTTCCCAACTAACAGAATCGATGTTTAATAAAGAATAGTCCTCGTGGGTCTTAACAGCCACATGGGTAGAAGGGACGACTTGTGTGCCATCTTTCAACCATTCGAAAGTAAAAGGAACGCTTCCTTCTGATGGATTACATATCACTTTGACTGTTTTACCAGCAGTCAAGTTTTTGGGAAAGAAAAACGGTTGGATTTTTGGTATTTCTGTAAGCAATAAATAAGACAATGCGTGAATAAAAATTGCTCTAAATATATTTTTCCTCGAAAAATAGCAAGTTTATTATTTTACATACGAAAAACGTACCTTCTGCACTCACTACGGCGAAGACAATGCAGGTTTTCACCAGTATATCCATGATAGCGAACTATCCAACTGTTTTCTCCGTAAAACGACGCATGCACTTTGTACTGTTGGGATACATATTCACATAATAGTAAATATCCTTACGATATTCGGACGCACTCAAAAGTCGCTACAGGTGACACCGTACTCGCACCGCAGACCTTCCAGTGCATGCCACTGAATATGGCGTTGCCTCGCCCAGCCTGTCCCCGCACAGCGCCATGCAGTGGCTGATGTTCAATGGAGCTTTCCCGCCTTTCGTCCGCAGTTATCTGCTGGAACTGACGTCACATACTCGTTTTTAGGTTATCTTCACACTTCACCCCTTTTCTCTCTTTGTTTGTCGTTACGACTTATCAATTTATTTACTACTAACCGAGTGAATACTATCTGATCTAATATTAGTGATTATCTACGTGAAGTGATAATAGTATCTGTTTAAAACTCTTCCTTTCCTAGAAGCCATACAATATTGTACATTCAAAGCGGATATAGTTTGGAAATTCGATCCACAGCATCTTCAAAAGTCAAGGTGCCTGTGCAAACGAATTAAAAATAAAAGCAGGCTGGATGAGATTGCTGCAACCAACATGTACCGAAACAAAAAAGGAAGGAAATAATATTCTATATCCTCTTGCTCAATTTAACAACATGTTTCCCTTTCTGGATCTGCAAAAAGATTATTCTGGTAATTCCAACATAACAGATAATCCTCTCAAGTAGTTTATCCGTCCCTTTACATAACCTAGAGCGAATCAATTAAGATTGACAGCCAGTAGAGTACAGCTACACCGATCTCCCTCTTTCTAGATTATATATATAGTCTGTGGAGGCAGTTGTGCCACTCGGGTGATAGATAACAATAATGTGCACTTTCGTGTTTCTTCTTCGGCTCCACGGTCTATTCTTGAGACCCCTTGAGCCATCGGATATAATAATTGGTGCTTCATTCCGTGGCGATACGTTTACGTCTGTACTCAAACGAGTGTTTAATGAGTTTATTATATTAAATATAAGAATTCGAGGAAATATTGACATTGCGATAGAAAAGCTCCAGTTATCACTATCCTTCCTCGAGATAAATCAAACATAAGTCCTTGTTAAGGAGTTCAATGGTAATTCCCTTAAGGAAGAGACTTGGCGCGTGTCCAAGTCAGTCTCCAGAATAGCTTTTTTTATAGAAAAATCAAGAATAAGTTGTTATGCTTCTTCTTTCTTCATATTGCAATAGATATACATCGTTTCTATTGTTATAAAATAAAGCCAATTCCTTATATAAATGTTAAGAAAATTAATTTCATTTTCTTCACAAGAATTGGAATAATTGGATATCAACAGAGAAAATTAATTCGAAAAGAATATTGTTTTAATTCAAATTTTTAAGTATCTAAAATTCAATATCTAATTTGACATATTTCTAAACAGTAAGGGTAACGAATACTTTTGTTAATAAGACAGTTAAGATTTGGGGCAAAGGTCAGCTAGCACTTAACACAAGAGTCACTCCTTTCTTTGAAGATAATGACTCGTTTTAAATTTTAAAGCACTTTAAATAATTGCTAGTGAATCACGCATAAAAATAATTATAACTGTTTTACTGAACGTAAACGTTTATCTGCTAGAGGAAAGTAGATGTTGCAATTAGTCATTATTAATTAAAGTATGTTTACATGGACGAGAACCTAGAGCTAAACAGCACGATTGTTTTAAGATTGTATAACACGCATCATTTTGTGGTATCGCATATTCCACACTTCAAATTAGCGAAACACGATCTCTCAATTCTGTAATAGCGGTCATACTATACTGGATCGATATTTGTAGAAAGCATTTAAATATATTTAAAACTCTATGCTCTATAAGATTTGCGGTCACTCAACTTATGCGGAAATATTAATCAATCAGTCATTACATCTATCCGTATAAAAATTTCTCCTTTATAATAGTAACCAAATAAAGCTTAATCGAGTTGCATGATTAACCCGAAACACTCTGACAAGATATAGATTATCGTTATAAAATAGCTTGTGGACAAGAAGCCTACTTACCTTTGACTTTTAAAACAATTGTTTTCTGTAAGGTACCTAATCCGTTCGTTACTTCGCAATTATAATATCCCGCATCCGTTACGCGTATGTTGTAAAATGTTAAAGTGCCTTTTGCCTCTATCTTCATGTGTCCGTCTTCGATGTCGTGCCATGTTTTCTTATCGTCTATACATAAAAACTTTTAATGTAATAGCTTATTTAAATATTATATCTGACGTTGTATACGTGTAATTAATGAACGTAATAACGTCAAGACTAAAAAATTATTCAATTTTTATATAATATAGTGTTGTGTTTTGTTTATAAAATTAATAATGTAAATAAGATTAAAAATGAATTTTTTGTTTACATGTAAAATATATAAAATTTAAGTAAAAATGAAAATTTTTATATAAGTATTTTTCTCAAATAAAATACATTATTCTTATAGTAAATAAAGTTTAACTTTTAATTTGATTTATTGTATTTGAAACGAATAAAAGGGAAACAAAAATATTTTTAAAATTAAATTTGTTTACGTTAAAAGAGATAATTATCAAATTCCGATTTTTTTATGACAAAATTTTCCTGTTTCGATCATTTCCCGGAACTTACTTCTTTCCTTCCTATTTTTACTCATTCTCTTTTATCAAGATGATATTTCCTTGTGAAATATTTCTCTCGATAGGTTGCATTATCCGATTTCTAATATGAAAAGCGATGAAAGATCATGCATGTTTTGAGCACATACCTCGGCTCCTCTTCCACGTGAAAGATGTATCAGGATTTCCATACGCTTGACACTCCAGAGTGGCATTATCGCCCGCGGCTACGGCCAAGTCTGCTGGTTCTTTTAACCATTTAGGCGGTCCTAGATCAGAATTATGAAAGATTTGTCTCAGAAAAAACTAAAAGTGGTTTCTTCACTTCACTTTTCTTAACGTAAATTGTAAAATCAAATCGAGGAAAATATATGTTTTAATATGAAAATGAAAACATTAGATAAATTTAATTTACTATTGGGAATAGTTTTCGGTATTGGAAAGGCCATGTGACTAACATGCGTCATTGTTGTAACATTTATCACATCTGACCACCCACTATGACTCATCAGAGTGAGGGTAGCTTTACAATGAGTACTTTCTAGAGGAAAATAGGGTTTTATCAGTGAAAATGCCACCAGGAATTTGTTCGTTTTACTCACAACTAATAAGCTATCTTCTTATAGGAAGATTTTAAAAAGCATAAATGTAGTTTGTAATTTAATAATTAACTTTTGTATGTTTTCGTTCGTTATTAGTAAATCGATATATTAGTAAAAACATAACGACACCTGCTGATTCATGCTCGGGGAGATAATACTCGTATGATGTCACTAATGACGTGTCAAGCAGGTGTACAACGGGTGGATTAGCTTCGTATAGCTTTCACTAGCTATTGTCGATATACAACAGGTTACTCATGTAACCTTAATGCTTGAACCTAGCCTAAATACTTTATAGATGATTTTAATAACAGAATAGAAGGATATGAGATAAAAAGGAAATACTTCCGGATTCAAAGTTCCGTAATTAACAATAATAATAATTCTTATTAATATTTAATAAGTTTCAATTTATATTTTTAATGTAAGTTTCCCGAGCTATATAAATTTACCTGTAACAATCAATGCGGCAGTGTAGGCATCTTCTGAAGAAGCACTCCTTACCATGCAAGTGTAGTTTCCCGTACTTTCTACCGAAGCGTTATTTATCATAAACATGGATGCCATTTCGTGAGAATATATTGTCCACATTGTATTACTTTCTATAGGCTGACCATCTTTCTTCCAAGAGAAACTTAAATCACCTTTTCCTTTGCGAATAGCGCACGTTGTTTGTACTCGTTGACCTTCGTCTATGTTTTTTGGAAATGAAAAAGGCTGTATTTCCACCACTAAAATAAAAATAAACGTAATTTTGAGCCATACTGAATTTTTATTATTTTAGGATTAAATAATTATTAACTATGTAAAATGTGTGTAGGGGATTTTCTTCCGATAGTAGGTATTATAATCACGTTTTATATATTGTTATAAAGTATTTTACATAGTAATAAAATTGCGGAATCGTCTATTTTCTTTTTAAATCGGTATATAAAGCGCGAAACGCAATTTTTTATGTACACTCATTTTCCGGAAAAATGAGCATTACGCTACTCCGTTTCATATTAACAAAAGAGGTGTATTATCGGACAAAATACACTATCTAATGTGAATATTTCTATTAGGCATAATTATCAATACGAAAAAGAGTGATGAGGAAACTTACCATCTGCATGAACTAAATAAGCTGATAGCAATAGTATTAACGATCTTTTCTCTATCCGCATTTTCTCGTATAAATTAATTTGTACTAAACAAACATTAAATAAAATTCTTCATATTTTCATCAGATTAACACAATATCTGCAGCCATTTTTCTTCCATTCGGTTCACTAATTAAATTGTATCCCTTGCAGCACTTCCACTATCTAACGTCCATATTCCATCAGACTGCAGTGGACATGGCGTTTCTTTGTCTTATCACATTGCACATGTTATAAGCGCCTCCTAACGGCTACAGTCTCAACTAATTGAATTAATTACATTACATATACCACATGAGTATAATATAAAAGCGTAAACGTCAGATGACACAGAAAAAACTAAAATCCAGAGAGAGTATTTTCGTATTTTGAGAATCTGAAGTGCCTTATCACGCAACTGACATCAAGCAGTTTGTCTTCGTAACTGCGTTCAGGTTTTGACTTAATACATTAAGCATAAAAATTTGAATCAAGTTTAAGCCCATCTCGAATAGCATATTTTTCATACATCCCGCATTTTCTTTTTTTTTTTAAAATTGGGAAATTGCATTAAATATTAGTTAAAATGCCAAGTCATTCTGCCTTTCATTTTCATATTAGGCGTCGTTCTTAAAAGCAAAAATACATTTGTACTAATAAACCGTATTTTCTGATTTAAGTTTAGATTTAATTTATAACAATAATTTGTATTTAGTCAGTTCTTTTATTTTTCTTCTAGTAAACAATTCTTACAAAAAATTATAAAATATACAGTCTTTAAACAGATGTTAGACGCTTAAGTTATAGACAAAAAATGTACTTGAAACCGATTTAATTTTCAATAAAGTGCATTTTATCAGCTTAACTGTTGCGAAAAATATATATAAAAGGAGAAAGTATTGTCAACAGGGTTCTCAATCAATACAGATCCACCATATTAGCTGTCTGACTAAACAGAGCTTGCGCTATATACCAGTCATAGGGCCGACAATCACCAGTTAATGTAATTGAATGTAAAGTCAGTTCTGTTAGTCTCTAACGCTGTAGTTATATATCCTGCTACTTAAATGTTATTATTTATTTATTTTTATCATTACCGACTCTAATGATTAATTCGTTTCCTTTCTAACTAATGTCACTGTCCTGTAATTATCGTCCCATTGTATACAACAGACAGTTAAATGCTTATAATACACATCATACTCACCTTGTAATAAGTAATTCAAATAATATAAAAATTCGCGTTGTTTTAATAAATTTATTAATATTATTATAATCTGAAGTACAAATAGTTTTGTAAAGAGTATATGTATATGCGGGTAAGGACAACATCGAAAAAACATGATACAAGATTGATGTCAAAAGAATGTACAATAGCATGCATTCTTCTATACGAATCTATAACTCTTCTCTTTTGTAACTGTACACTTATCCTCTTCTTAATCATCTGATGGAAAAATTAGTGTGATGGAAAATTATCACACGAATATGATCAAATATGTCTTTATCTTACGAATAAATAACATAAATTCACTGCGGACTGTCATATATGTGATCGTCCCTTCGTTTTAATGAACTCGGTTTAGGATAGACTGGTCTGTCCTATAAAAAAATAATAATAAAATCGAATGATATAATTAATATTTTTTATAAAAAAATCAAATAATTGTATATTCGATTTAAGACTACCTGAGGGAAAAAGGTTTTTAATTCTTGATTGAGACATTCTTTACTATAATTGATTTCCGATTCGTCCATCATAGGCATTGTGGCATAAGGTGATGGATAATTCTCTTGGATGGAAGGGTCCACTTGTACCAGTGGTCTGGCTTTGTCCACGTCGACGTAACGTTGCATGGTGCCGGGTAACGATAAGTGTTTCTCCGCTGCTAGAGCTAGAATGAAATACAACAAAAACCCACTATCAGTCATTGAAAAGAATTTATGTCAAATTTATAGGTCAATAACCTTAAAAACGTTTATAAGAAAAACGCTTCCGAGTCTATTCTTTATTCAAATACTTTTATCACTGACCTCTTTCTATATGTTGTCTTTTTCGGATTTTTCTAACACAGATACAAGCAACAGTAATTACTATAACTATAGTAAGTAAAGACACGGCTACTGGTACTAGAACTGCTAAATCTAAATAAGGTGGATGAGCGCCGCCAACCACAGCTAGGAGAGCTGAAAGAACAATTAATAAACTCAAATTTATAAAAAAAAAACATATCGCACTTATATTAAATGTAAGTTTTTCTTTTCTGTATTGGTAATTTCGGGATGACGTCAGCGCTCACCTCTATCTACTGTTCTGGCAGCAATGATCTCACTGGGATCGCCTCTTCCGTATTGATTGGAAGCGGTGATGTAAAGTTGGTAGGTTTTGCCAATGTTAAGGTCATTCAAAACGTAGGTATTATCATCAATTGAAGTAATTGGAACCTCCTGCCATTCTCCTTCTTCTTCTTCTTTATAATAAATTGTGTAACCTATTAATAATAATATTTAATCTTTAAACCAGTTTTCTCGGCGATAATATTAAATAATCCAATTCACGTTATCACATATATATTATAAAAGGTCATTGTACCTGTAACTGCAGTGTCAGATCTTTTAGAATTCCTTCTAAGTGTGATTGATGTCGGAGAGGTAGATAAAACATAAACGGACGGTGGACTTGGCAAATCTGAAATTTATGAATAAATAAATGGCTATAAAACGTTTCTTAAATTGATTATTTATATTCTTACTGCGTGTACAAGTTAGAGGAAAAGAAAAAGTGAAAAGAGAATGAAAGTAACAATATTTTAAATGCTTACCTCCATCTAAGGTTTTGACAATTACTTCGTGAGATGCAGGACCTCCTCCTGCGGAATTAAAGGCTTTAACTATAACACTGTAATCAGTAGCTTTAAGTAGATTTGTAAGAAAATATTCCTGTGTTCTATTCGGAACATATTCCACAGTTTTATAAGAATATGGCTGTGTTGAATCTCTGCTTTTATATCCAATGTAGTATCCTTTCAAATTACCGTTCCAGTTGTCTCTAGGTGGCGGCTAAATAAGGTGATAATGAACATATTTATAACAGATCATTAATATAATATCTAAAATTTTTGAAAATATACGTTTACCTTCCAAGTAACTTTTATGGTAGACGACCCACCGCTTTCTACTGAAATATCAACTGGTGGAGAACTTGGTTCTGAAATAAGAAAATAATGTTGTTAATAATATATTTTTACACGTCTGAATTTATTATTGATGATGTCATTGCTAAAATTAAAACTAGTAGAAACAACATTTTCCATGATAAATTCTAACTTGATTTCGTAAACTTGAAGATGATGTATTTATAAGTAAAACTGGTAACAAGAAGGAAAACTACAATTTTTTTTAATCGTTAAAAGTAAAAACTAACTACGCATTTTGTTATTTTAAATTAGTTTTATATAGTCAGTTGTTTACATTAGCAACATATCTAAATGTAACCTATAAAATTAGTAAAAAATAATTTGAAATTAGAATTATCATCAAAATAGACATCTGTATTGGAGATTATAAAATTTTTAAAACGAACATTTTGTGATGGGCAACTATAAAATATATTTTCGTTAATAGTTTTTTTTATTATACTGTGATAATTTAATGACTAAATACTATTGTGTTCAGTATTCATGTAAAGTTTTATAAGAAATCAATAACAGAAAAATATCAGATTTTATAACCTAGTAACATAATCAAACAGGTTGAATAAATAACTTTTTATTATGCTTAAACAGGAAAGAAGTAATAAAATGAAACTGTCACAGACTAGAAAATGGTTTAAAGTAATTCAGTTTGTTTTTCTACCTATTTATTTATTTAGAGACCAGATTATTGTAATGTATATAAATTTTGTGACGCGTAACCGGTATTATTTATAACGAAAATAATATTAAAATTTAATAAATAATTATAATAAATAGGTTGAAAACGTTTGAAATAAAATAATTTTATGCTCGGAAAAAATTCAGGTGTGTTGTTATAATTAATTGCAATTGCTGAGAGAAAGGTGGATAGTTAAAATTTACCTTCCTCTCCAGTGTGAAATACAACTGATGCAGAGGGATCGCCTCTTCCAACTGTATTTTCTGCTACGACTTTTAACATGTAGGATGTTCCGGGATGAAGATCTTTAATAAGGGCATTAGACTGAGAACTTGGAACTTCTTTTTCGTAAAGACGATTACCGGAACCTATACACATAAATAAATATTAATATTTCAGTAGTATTCTAATTTAATTCCACTTATTAATACATTTTTTATTCCTGTTACCTTGATCCCGCCAATACTGAATGATATATTTTGTAATGGGACTGTTGCCACTGTAAGGAGAAGACCAAGAAATACTACAACTTCTACTCCAAACTTCGCGTACTTTAAGGTCTAATGGAGGAGCTGGCACTTCTGTAAATATAGGGAACAATTTTTATCAATTAGACAAATATTTGTATAAAAATGTCTCGTTTAAAGATCCTTCTGGTCATGAGTAATTAATTCTTTTTAACGTAGCCTAGGGTTGGCTAATTTTAAAGGCTTATCACACTTTGTAGGTTAAGTGATAAAAAAGAGTCAGAGATCAAGTGAAAAGGTATACGCTTTATTGATATAAAGAGTAGGCTATATCTTTATATTCGCTCGTATTTCGGATCTCTTAGTCCCTCATCAGTCCAATCATCAAGCGTAGATTACTATACTATTAATAACCATAAAATTAATCATCACTAAACATCTAAACAGTACCTACAGGAGAGTTTTCCAAGGATGTATACACAACTTCATAATCGTGCTCCCAACAGTCTTTATCCAAAGATTGCACATTTACCTATTTAATATATTTTTTTAAAATACATAAAGTATTATATAATTATCTGACAAAAAATTAAATAGGAAAATATACGGTCTTTGGATAAAGACTCTGTTGGGAGCACGACTATGAAGTTGTGTATACATCCTGTAGGTAGGCCTACTGTTTAGATGTTTTGTGATGATGATTTAATATATTATTGTAACTGAAAAATAATATTATGGTTATTAACAGTATAGTAATCTACGCTTGCTGATTAGACTGATGAGACTGAATCCGCAATAAAACTTATTTCCGATATCAATAATGCGTATACCTTTTCACTCGATCTCCGACTAGTTTTAGTGTGAAAAATTAGTCAACCCTGGGCTAAGATGACTAAGATGTTGTCTTGTTTTAATTTATGTTTAGTTCTACAATATAAAAATGATTTAAAAATAAAATCAATTATCAAATATTATTAGAAACTTTATTATATTATACCTATATTATTAATTCAAATAATAATTTTGATTCAGTTTTTAGTTTTAATAATCATAGTTACCGCTTTATTTTATACTTTTATTACTATAAAAATTAAATATTTATAGCATAAATTCTTATTTTAATGTAATTCCAATAAAAATCACTGCATTAAATGTAATGTAAAATTTATTTACAAAATATTTAGGAATTTATGTGACGTAATTATAAAATATAAATTTGTAAAGTTAATATAAAAATTATTCATTAAACAATAATCATTTAATTGGTTGATGCAATCGACTCTCCGTATTATGTAATCTTCAAATAAAAGTCAACTCACCCATAACTAATAATCTGATCTTTCTTTGGTCATGACCATATTGATTCTCAGTAACACAGGTGTACAACGCTCCGTCTTCGCGGTCTGACGAGCGAATAATTAACTCTGACACCATGCCTTTAGGCAAAAGTGTCTCGAAAATTTCGTATCTAAAATGAACGAGTTAAATCTATATTTAAAAAATAATTCAGAAAATAATGATAGGCATTTAATAATTAAGAAAAAAATTTCGGCTATATTTTATACTTATTTAAAAATTTTTACATTTACCTCGTTCCTCCCGCTTTGTTTAACTTAATATCTTCTTTTGACCATACAATGGAAACTGGTTGGTCACCTATGGCCTCACATCTTATTTTAGAACTTTCTCCTTTTCTGGCAGTAATAACTGTAAATTTTTCTTCAAATCTGGCAGGAACTAATAAAAGTATTAAATTTTATTAAATAAAAATTCAACGAAATAATTGATAACACTAGGCTACTGTAGCATTGATTTATTTTTAAGATTTAAAAAATATAATAATAAAATAAAATAGTTGTTATTAAAATGATCATACCTGACGGTTAAAAGTGTGTTTAATATATGAAAACCATAAGTAACTTTATATTCATACTTCGGAATATAAAATTATAGTTTTTATGATAAAATCAGTGTAAAAACTGAATTGAATTAAAAGTTTTTCTTTTAATATTCCATCATAAAATATTAAAATAAAAAAAATTAGTAAAATCTTTGAATAATTGTGAAACACTAATGAACACTTAACAAAGTTAAAAATTAAGTAACAATCGTTAAAAACAAGATCATGATATTAGTTTACAAATTAACTTTTATTACTTCTCTATATTTTACCATAAATGTTTTAATAATGCACTAATTAGTTTTACAATCTTTCAAAACAGACGCTAATTTATTTATTATCTGTTTGTTTACATTTTTCTGTTTTATAACAACTTTCAAAATTATCTGAAAAATAGTAGCATACATCAATTATTATATTATTAATTTTTTTGTCCTAAAATATTAAATACATATACAAAAATATTATTAAGTTTCTTACCTCTTATTAATGATATGTTACAATTTATATCGTTTTCCATTTCATTAAGAATTTTCAATATATTTAAAAACAGTATAATTGTTTCGTGACATTAAGTCATATATATAGTTGAGAAATTTTTTCACACTGGATATAGTTTTAATTAAATCTCTTTTATCTTACCATTAACAGTGAGCATAATTGTCTTTTTCAACGTTGGTTCAACTCCATTATCAGCAATACATTCATAAATTCCGCCATCTATTTCAGTGATATTCTTTAATAATAAAGTACCATTTTGCAATATATCTCCTTTCTTGACGACATTTAACTCCTTCGAAATTCCTAAAATATAAAATAGAGGAATTTTCTTTTACATATAACGCAAAAACGATTAACTCGTAATTACCTTTTCCTTTTTTCCAAGAAATTTTAGGTTCAGGCGAACCAGCAGCACTACAATGTAAATTAGCATTTTCCCCGAAAATAGCAAATGAATCTTCGGGTTCTGATTGCCAAATTGGCGGAGCTAGGAAAATGTATATAAGGCGTATTTTTAATTAGTAATAATATAAACATTAATTTTTTTTATAGTCTACTAACCTTCAATATTCAGATACGATGTAAATGATGTTTTTGTGTGACCGTCACTTACACTACAAGTGTAATTGCCACCACTCTCTACCTTAACTGGGTCTATTATAATTAAAGAAAAGTCATTGCCATTTTTAACTCTAATTTCTTGAGATTTTAAAATTTCTTTTCCATTTCTTAACCAAGTAAATGTTATGGATGTAGATTTAACAGATGATACAAGGCAAGTGGCAGTTGTTTTTTGTCCAACTAGTACTCTCTTTGGAAAAGTGAAGGGTTCTATATTAACTGTAAATACATTATAATACTTATTTAGCAAGTATATAATATGTTGTGAAATAAACAATACTTAAACATTTATCAAGTAAATGTGATATAGTTACCTTCGGCATAGAGCAGCTGACGACAGACAAGAACAAAGCACATCCAGTAGAGTGTGTGCATTTCGAATGCGTTATTAGTGAGAAAATATCGAAATTTTAACTTGTTCCACGTTAAATACATCTACGTTAATAAGAGATTTTCCGGAAGACATGTGTAATGTTCTGCCATTAACAATAATTGGATTCTTAGCCGATATAGAAAACATGGCGACAGTTAACATCAATACGCGGTTATAGCGCCTCGTCTCGTCATAACAAGCGAACAAAGATTTTGCTTTTTATGTACACTCACTTTTATTCTTAGTTTTATAATAATAATATCAAGCATAAAAATAAAATACGTTATATATTTATAAATAATTTATTTTAAATCTACTTATCGATTACATACCGTAAATTTTTATTGTAATGCGTTTCTTAATATTTGGTTGGATACCATTGTCTGCTTCGCATTCGTAAATGCCAGCATCTTTTTCTGAAATTTCTTCTATGATCAATGTACCATTAGCAAGTACGCGATCCTTAGATACCTCTTCTATTATTTCTCTAGATGGATCTGAAAGAAGTAATAATATAATACTTAAGTTGAGATAATAAAAATAAACGCATTAATAACATATTAATTCACATGCTACTTTATTTTCACTAACTCGAAATCTTTTTCCAGGTAATATTAGGCATTGGTGAACCCGTAACAGAACAGTGAATTGTAATTAAAACACCTTTGATAGAAGATACATCTTGTGGTTCTTCTTGCCATTGGGGTGATGCTAAGGTAATAAACAGATTATTATTGAAATAATTATGCTTTAATGNATAATAATAATTCTTATTAATATTTAATAAGTTTCAATTTATATTTTTAATGTAAGTTTCCCGAGCTATATAAATTTACCTGTAACAATCAATGCGGCAGTGTAGGCATCTTCTGAAGAAGCACTCCTTACCATGCAAGTGTAGTTTCCCGTACTTTCTACCGAAGCGTTATTTATCATAAACATGGATGCCATTTCGTGAGAATATATTGTCCACATTGTATTACTTTCTATAGGCTGACCATCTTTCTTCCAAGAGAAACTTAAATCACCTTTTCCTTTGCGAATAGCGCACGTTGTTTGTACTCGTTGACCTTCGTCTATGTTTTTTGGAAATGAAAAAGGCTGTATTTCCACCACTAAAATAAAAATAAACGTAATTTTGAGCCATACTGAATTTTTATTATTTTAGGATTAAATAATTATTAACTATGTAAAATGTGTGTAGGGGATTTTCTTCCGATAGTAGGTATTATAATCACGTTTTATATATTGTTATAAAGTATTTTACATAGTAATAAAATTGCGGAATCGTCTATTTTCTTTTTAAATCGGTATATAACGCGCGAAACGCAATTTTTTATGTACACTCACTTTTATTCTTAGTTTTATAATAATAATATCAAGCATAAAAATAAAATACGTTATATATTTATAAATAATTTATTTTAAATCTACTTATCGATTACATACCGTAAATTTTTATTGTAATGCGTTTCTTAATATTTGGTTGGATACCATTGTCTGCTTCGCATTCGTAAATGCCAGCATCTTTTTCTGAAATTTCTTCTATGATCAATGTACCATTAGCAAGTACGCGATCCTTAGATACCTCTTCTATTATTTCTCTAGATGGATCTGAAAGAAGTAATAATATAATACTTAAGTTGAGATAATAAAAATAAACGCATTAATAACATATTAATTCACATGCTACTTTATTTTCACTAACTCGAAATCTTTTTCCAGGTAATATTAGGCATTGGTGAACCCGTAACAGAACAGTGAATTGTAATTAAAACACCTTTGATAGAAGATACATCTTGTGGTTCTTCTTGCCATTGGGGTGATGCTAAGGTAATAAACAGATTATTATTGAAATAATTATGCTTTAATGATGTTAGTAGTATAAATAAGTAGTTAGTAGTGTATAAAATCTTACCAGCAACGAGAAAATTTGCAGTGTAACTGCTACTACCAGAAGGATTACTAACGGTACACGTGTAATTTCCTTCACTAGTTAATTTTACAGGATCGATGATGATAACAGAATATTCTTTATTATCATTTATTTTAGCCTCATTTATATCAGATATTGGTTTGCCATCTTTGGACCACTGGAATTTAAAAGGTCCACTTGATAACAAAACAAAACACATAGCAGTTGCTTTTTGTTGTAATGGTACTCTTCCTTGGAAATTAAATGGTTTTATAACAGGCAAATCTGAAACTAAATAAAGATTTAATGAATATATGATATTTAGGCATAATATTTACCTTATAAAATGATTTAGTGTATAAGTTTAGCAAAATACTAATAAATCGCATGCAATTAACAAGTTTATATTTAAATCTAATTCATAAAAGGTGCCTACTATTACTACTACAGTTATTTATTTTTATAATAAGCATATAAGTAAATTTATTAAGTTAATTAAACTGATTTTCTTAAAGAAAGTTGTATTATATATATAAAGAAAATATATATAAACTTGGTGCGGCTTACCTTCTCCATTAGACTTTTCTCTTAGTAATAATACTCCACATACAAGTAAAATTTTCTGTATCATCATAAATCCAGATAAATCTAAAGCATCCAAAAACGATATTCGGGCAGTATCGTTTTAAAGAAATGTATAAGAAATAAGTAAAAATTCAATTTTGTGTATATAGTCACAGGCTTCTACCACATAATAAGACAAGTCTTGACTTGATAGAGCGCCACACAGCGTTTGTAGATGAGAATTACTTTTATAATTTCTTTGCTGCGAAAATCCTAGTGATATAATTATTTAATCGAGTTTTATTTATTTTCCCACATTAAAATGCTTTTCTTGCGACACTACGTTTAAAATTTCGTATATACTATTAAACTTCATATTCGCAGTATTTCAGTTTCGGGTTTTATCTTTAATGATATTTAATATCTTATTAATTAAAGGTATTGTAATAACAGCTGTAATAAGCTATTAATATCATATAACGAGAATACTTTAAAGCTTATTTTATTTAATTTTTAAAAATCTTTATTTACTAAAATTATTTAATTAATATAAAAATGATCACGTTTCGTAATTTGGAAGGCATTTTTTAGTTCATAAAACTGACTTATTATTTGTAAAACTATTTCAATTGCAACTCACCATATACCGTTATATGTATCTGTTTTATTAGATTCGGTTCTACATTATTGGAGGCTTCACATTGATAAACACCTCCATCTTTTTCTGTTATATTTGTTATAATAATAGTTCCATTTGTAGTCATAATAGGTGTTAGATCTTTAGATGATTCTGTAGAATATAAATGCATAATAATCGGTTAAATTCAAAATTAATATTAATAGAAATTAATTTGTTTTATTGCTTACTCTTAATTTTCTTCCATGTTATATGGGGTAATGGAGATCCTTTAGCATTACATTTCAGTGTTAAAGTTTCTCCAATTATTACATTTTCGTCCTTTGGTTCTTCAATCCATTTAGGAGAATCTAGAAATTNCAATTTTCTGAAGATTCGGATCTACTTTATTATCCACAGTACATAAATATTCTCCAGCATCATCAGCTTTTATTTTTGACAAAATTAAAGTCTGATTTTCAGATAAATATTTCTTTTCTTTTCTTGAACTATCTGTAATATATTTTTACTAATATTTTAAAATATTTTATTAAATAATCTAGTATAAATATTTAAATTCGGACCTGTAAATTTTTCCCAGGTAATTCGTGGTTTTGGAGAACCAGATGCATTGCATATCAACGTTATAGAAGAATCAAGGATAGCAGATGTATCACTTGGTTCTTCAATCCATTTAGGAAATTGCAAATTACATATAATAAGATAAACGTATTTATAACAGTACCTTCTACGAGAAGTTCTGCAATGTAACTGCTTGAACCAACTTTACTATTAACTATGCACGTGTAATTTCCTTCACTGTTAACTTGAACAGGATCTATAATAACTAAAGAATAATCTGGTCCATATTTTACTCTGATATCTGCTGTAGTATCTGTTATTTCAACTCCATTCTTTAACCAAGAAAATGTTAAATGATCACTGTTGGAGACGACCAAGCACGTTGTTGAAGCTTTTTCTCCTTGTTTAACTCTACCATTGAAACTAAATGGTTTTATTTTTGGTAAATCTGGAAGAAATTCGAATTATATTATTAAAAAAATATATATATAAAAGCTAAACTTTGCCAAATTTAAGTTGTGATTTTGAAATTGTTATTGAAGCAGTAGTAACTAACTAAAATGAAAAATATAATATTTTACACGTACCTTGTGCTTCTAAAGGTATCCATGAAACGACGAATAGGAGCAAATAAAGCAGCATATAAGAGAAATTGTGAAGCATTTTTTCAACAGCAGTATTATGTTTTGATGAGTACAATGGATAAAATCATCTCATTATGGACCAAATGTGATCTCTTTAAAGTTCCACATGGGGAGAGTTTTTGATCTAAACAGCTCTCATCTATAAAGATGGCGAGCGACTATTCTCATCGAAACTTTCATTTTGTTTACTCAGCGCCACGCTCGGTTAAAAGCGAAAGCTTTCTATTCCATAAATGTGTTTTTGATAATTTTGTTCTAAACGATTTTATAAATAACTGCCCATTGAAAATATAACATATGAAGGAAGCAACCTTGAAGGAAAGTTCTTCATGCAAATAATTCTGGAAAACCAAATTTTCATAAAATATTTATTCACTATAAATTTCTAAAAATTTTATACAAAAACTGTAATTACTTGGTAAGTATACAAATAGTTTTCGTTTTACTGTTATGTTTTATGCGTACGGTAAATATGAAAAGAAATGCACGATGGATATTTTTAATTGGCATCTCGTGAAATTTGGAGTAAGTTTTATAATAGTTTGAATCATTAATTATGTATTTTATGATTTTCTTGTGTTTTATTTCTTTTCAAAAGTTAGCAGTTATTCAGATAATCCAGATCATTAGAAACCAAAAGTTATGAGCTGTGTAATTCCACGATTGTCATTTTGTTGATTTTGTGTGGCATGTTTATTTACTGTTTAGATAATATAATTTTATTATAAATGAGCATTTAGTAAAAGGTGATACGCTTTTGCGAAATTATCGGGTTTACGTTTAAGTAAAGATATAAGACAAGTTTTTCCAAAATCGTGTTTTACTGCATAGATTCCTTATTTGTCTTACACTATTTTGAGATATTAATTGAAAACATTGAGAAATCTCACCTTGAACCTTAATTATGATCTGCTTTTTAATCGATGGATTAATACCATTATTGGCTTCACACTCGTAGGTACCAGAATCTGCTTTCTTTATTGCATTAAAATGTAATGTTCCATTCTCAGAAATATGTGTGTTTGCAGTTTTCTTGTTGTCAGCTAAAATGAAACGTTAGATCCAATTATAGCTTTTAAAATTCCAGAATCATAAAACACCTGGCACGAAATCCACCAACCACTGATCTTTCTCCAAGTGACATTTGGTACAGGTGAACCGATTGCTGAGCATTTGATTATTACGGAATTTTCCAAAATGACAGTCGTATCTTGAGGTTCTTCTATCCATTGAGGTGGTGCTGAAACATACTTTCATTTTATATCTAACCGTAAGAAAATTTCAAATACAGATATATAATTGATAAATTTAAATTAACCTTGCTTACCTTCCACTAGTAATTCAGTTGTAAAACTATCTACTCCTACAGAATTTTTTGCTATACAGGTGTAATTTCCTTCCGTATTCATTCTCACAGGATCTATTATAATGGTCGAATAATCATGTTCGTGTTTTATTCGAACAGTTGATGAATTACTGATATCTTTGCCATTAAAAAGCCATTTAAATTCTAAAGAATTTCCTGCAGAAATGCACGTTAATGCTGCCTTTTCGTTTACTGGAATCCTTCCTTGGACGCCGAAAGGCCTTATCCGAGGAGAATCCATTCCTTTATTTAAAACGTTTAAGTAAGCTTATAAAATGCCATAAACCAATATGAATATATATTTATGAATTTCTCACATTTAGTAAACTAACCTGTACACCTGCCGACTTCTAAGAAAGATATTAAGAGAACCAGTACTAATACGGGAAACATTTTTTAAAAACACTTAAAACTCTGTCTTCTTCATAACTGAATCACTCGTTATTTCTTAATGGCATAATTTATATCGAGAGAGTTTTCGCAGCGAACTTATTCTGTAATGTGTAAAATGAATATGGCGATTGCTTTGTGTAGAAAATCGCTCCCAAGCGCCACACAATGTCAATTTTCAGAAACACTGTCTGCTTAAAACTTTGTTTTAACGATATATGAACAACGAAAATAAATTTTCGATGCATTAATATTTTCATAAATCTGTTTTCAAAACCAAAAGTTTATTAAGCTTACCCTTGACAATGATTGTGACAATTTTCTGAAGATTCGGATCTACTTTATTATCCACAGTACATAAATATTCTCCAGCATCATCAGCTTTTATTTTTGACAAAATTAAAGTCTGATTTTCAGATAAATATTTCTTTTCTTTTCTTGAACTATCTGTAATATATTTTTACTAATATTTTAAAATATTTTATTAAATAATCTAGTATAAATATTTAAATTCGGACCTGTAAATTTTTCCCAGGTAATTCGTGGTTTTGGAGAACCAGATGCATTGCATATCAACGTTATAGAAGAATCAAGGATAGCAGAAGTATCACTTGGTTCTTCAATCCATTTAGGAGAATCTAGAAATTTATCGCATATTTTGATCAATATATTATCCTCATTTAAATAACTTCATATTTATAAATAATTATTAAAAAGATATTCTTATAAAAATTATAAACGAAAAGCTATTGGTTACCAAATTCTTACCTTCGACTTGAAGTTCAGTTGTGTAGCTATCTTTACCTAAATCGTTGCTTACAATGCATGTGTAATTTCCTTTGCTTGTTATTAATACAGGATCAATTAAAATAAGAGAATAGTGTTTTTCATTTTTCACCTTTACTTCTTTCATAGATTCAATATCATGGCCATCTTTCAACCATATAAATTGTAAGGATCCTGTAGTAGTTGTAACTAAACAAGTCGCTATTGTTTTATCACCTACTGTTACTTTTCCTTGAAATGAAAATGGCTTAATTTTGGGAACTTCTGGAAAATATTGAATAATTATCTTTGAAAATTACGTTAATTTTTGCTGACACTGTATGAAACGATATGAGAAATCACTTACCTTCTGCCATTATCACTGAAAAACTAACAGCAACAAACAAATAACGAAAGATGTTCATTTTCACACACATTACTGCTGTTTACATGATTAGGAATTATAAAATTTACACATGTAATATTTTATCGCACATAACAATTCGAAAAACAGTAAGTAAATTAGAAATTTTTCAATTAATGGCGAACTCTATTTATCTCGTGAAGAATGACTAGATTTACTGCATTCAAAGCGCCACATATCGTCTAGAAACTGCAGCTCAAATAAAAAGCTTCAAATTTCTCACGAATTTAAGAAATTTCTTCGAATTAAATCTACAGACAATGTTTGCATGTAATAATGTACTTATATTTATTATGTATAAGTGTAATTATGTTAATCATGATTATTTTTTTAACACACACAAAATGATTTATCAATTATGCTTATTCTTCAACGTTTTTATTACACTTTTATGTCTGGTTTATTTCAAAATAAACCTTACCATGAATCTCGACAACAATTTTTTTAGATATTTTTCCATTTATTCCATTTTCTGCCTCGCATTCATAAAGTCCTGCATCATCATCTGTAACTTTTTCCTTCCACAATGTTCCGTTATTCGTTAAATTTTTTAATCTAGAACCTTTTTAATAGAATTATATTATTAGAAGTTTAAAAATCGCAGTTTTTTCCTAGAATAGCAAAAATTTAGAATAGAAATTTATGATATTTTACCCTCCATTTTTTTCCACACTATTTGTGGAATTGGAGAACCACTAGCTTCACATTTAATTTTTAGAGGATTTCCTAAAATAACCGAAGCATCTTTCGGTTCTTCAACCCATACAGGAGGAGCTATAAATTTATATAAATTTTGTAATATAGTTGTGAAGTATTCTTATATAAATGGTAAACTCTTGTCTCACCTTCGACTTGTAAATGTGTTGTGTAACTAGAACCACCTTCTTTGCTAGTTGCTATACACGTGTAATTTCCTTCATTAACAATATCAACTGGGTCTATAATAAGCAAAGTATAGTCTGTTCCGTCTCTGATTCTAATGTTTTTTACATCAGAAACACTAATTCCATTGTGTAGCCAAGAAAATGTTACTGTACTAGTACTAGAAACCGTACACGTTACCGATGCTTTGTCTCCAATGGGAATTCGACGAAGAAAGCTAAAAGGTTGTATTTTTGGAATATCTAGAAATGAAAACATCTCTAGCTATAGAAAATACGTTTTTTATGCAAATAGCGAAATATTGATAACAACTCACCCTGTCCAACCACCACACAGGCGAATACTATGAACATACATAAACGATAAGCTTCTGACATAACAGATAATTTCATGTTCAGATTATATTAGTCGGTGCACAGATAACCAAATTAATTTCCATTCGCTAAAACTATCATTTACACACTTCACTCCTCACTATGCATTTGCCTATTGTCAACATGGAGACTGATAGTAGTAGTGAAAGCACCTCATAGCGGATATTTATTGAAACAACATTCGCAAAATATTGCATAATAAACTTGCTTGTAATTATCGTAATCATATTAATAACGTCTTTTATTAAACAGAAAGTAAAATCTACTGTATATATGTATAAACTACATCAATTAAGTTATCTTACCATGCACTGATAGTTGAATGATTTTAGAAATTTTTGGCTCTACTTCATTATTCGCCAAACACTCATATAATCCTGCATCTGTATCCATAATATGTTCAATATTAAGTGTGCCATTAGATGATTGTAAATTTTTAGATTTTGATTTTTCGATTTTCCTCCAGGTAATTTTTGGTTTTGGCGAACCACTAGCTTGGCAATTGACTGAAACATAACTTCCTAAAATTGCTGTTTCATCTGTAGGTTCCTCTATCCATTGCGGCGAAGCTATTTCATATATACATCAAAAGAATGATGAACATATTCAGAAGTACAAATATATTTTAAAAAATTAAATATGATAAAGTATATTTTAATAAATTATCATAGTAATATGAATATTAAATATGTAATATCATTTACCTTCTACTAGTAACTCAGCTGTAAAACTATCTTTACCAAAATCATTGCTAACAACACAGGTATAATTTCCTTGACTGTGAACTTCTATAGGATCAATTATTATAAGAGAATAATCTTTATCATTTTTTATTCGAATTTCTGAAGACTGTGTCAATTCTTTCCCGTTTTTTAGCCACGTAAACGATAAAGATTTTGGCGATAAACTTGTGCAAGTTGCTATAGCCTTATGGCCAACAGGATATCTTCTTTGAAAGTTAAATGGCTCAACTTTTGGTACATCTGTTAAAAACAAAATAATAATTCCGTTATATTATAAAAATAATTATTATACAACGACTAATGTTAAAGATATGCAAACTTTCTACTCACCATTGCTACTTGCAACTAGAACAAAAAGTGTTGTGAGAGTCGTCCATCTTATCAAATACTTCAACTGCATAGTTATTACTTATTTCTTAATAATCCAAAGGCAGAATATAATATGTAGAACGTAGCGATATTAAAGTATGCATTGGAAACGTAAAATCAGGATAATGTTCTTATTTAAAAGGAGTTAAATAATGTTACCATTAAAGTTAAGTGTTTAGCTTATGTTAGGTACTGTACAGTCATCAGTGTGCATATCGCGCGCCATACAACGGTGTTTTCTCGAATCATATCCAAAACACAATACAATTACGATTTTAAACGATTTACAATGCACGAGCATTTATTCATTTCGTAATAATATATATAAAAGTATGAATTTAAAGGAATAATATATACTTTATTTTACGAATATAGGGCACTTCACAAAATTTGTTATAAGAAATTATTGTCTACAGTTAAATAATTGATAACTTAAATATTATAAAATATATAATATTGTATTTCCTACCCTTAACAGTTAGCTCTATTGTCTTTTTTATAGCCTGTCCAATACTGTTGCTGGCTTCACATTCATATAAACCAGATAGCTCGGCAGAAGCATTTTTGAATATTAATGTACCATTGTCTACTGAAATTGGCGTCAATTTTCCGTTTAAAATATTTTTTGGAGTTTTTCCTAGTATATTTGTATTTCAGCCAATTAATTTCAAATGAAAATTTTAACTCTATCCATTATACGAAACTTTGTATCACCTTCGAGCTTTTTCCAGGTTACCAAGGGTTTTGGCGATCCTGTAGCTTGACAATGAATACTAACAGTCTCCCCTGCTATCATAATTGCATCTTTAGGTTCTTCAGCCCATTGAGGAGGGGCTATATAATAAAATGCAAAGACATGATATAAAGCATATAGATACGTTAATGTATTTAAGATATTCAAACCAAACCTTCGACAAGAAGCTGAGCGGTATAGCTGTCACTCCCAAAATTATTAGTTACCACACACGTGTAATTTCCCTGATCATCTGTAACAGCATGTTCAATGACCATGAATGAGTAATCTTTTTCTTGTTTTATTCTTATATTTGTATTTTCTGTCATCGTTTCACCATCTTTCAACCATTTAAATGTTAGTGGTCCATTGGATGACACAACTAAACAAGTAGCAATAGTTTTTTCGCCAATGGGAACTCGTCGTTGAAAGTTAAATGGCTCAACTTTTGGTACATCTGTTAAAAACAAAATAATAATTCCGTTATATTATAAAAATAATTATTATACAACGACTAATGTTAAAGATATGCAAACTTTCTACTCACCATTGCTACTTGCAACTAGAACAAAAAGTGTTGTGAGAGTCGTCCATCTTATCAAATACTTCAACTGCATAGTTATTACTTATTTCTTAATAATCCAAAGGCAGAATATAATATGTAGAACGTAGCGATATTAAAGTATGCATTGGAAACGTAAAATCAGGATAATGTTCTTATTTAAAAGGAGTTAAATAATGTTACCATTAAAGTTAAGTGTTTAGCTTATGTTAGGTACTGTACAGTCATCAGTGTGCATATCGCGCGCCATACAACGGTGTTTTCTCGAATCATATCCAAAACACAATACAATTACGATTTTAAACGATTTACAATGCACGAGCATTTATTCATTTCGTAATAATATATATAAAAGTATGAATTTAAAGGAATAATATATACTTTATTTTACGAATATAGGGCACTTCACAAAATTTGTTATAAGAAATTATTGTCTACAGTTAAATAATTGATAACTTAAATATTATAAAATATATAATATTGTATTTCCTACCCTTAACAGTTAGCTCTATTGTCTTTTTTATAGCCTGTCCAATACTGTTGCTGGCTTCACATTCATATAAACCAGATAGCTCGGCAGAAGCATTTTTGAATATTAATGTACCATTGTCTACTGAAATTGGCGTCAATTTTCCGTTTAAAATATTTTTTGGAGTTTTTCCTAGTATATTTGTATTTCAGCCAATTAATTTCAAATGAAAATTTTAACTCTATCCATTATACGAAACTTTGTATCACCTTCGAGCTTTTTCCAGGTTACCAAGGGTTTTGGCGATCCTGTAGCTTGGCAATGAATACTAACAGTCTCCCCTGCTATCATAATTGCATCTTTAGGTTCTTCAGCCCATTGAGGAGGGGCTATATAATAAAATGCAAAGACATGATATAAAGCATATAGATACGTTAATGTATTTAAGATATTCAAACCAAACCTTCGACAAGAAGCTGAGCGGTATAGCTGTCACTCCCAAAATTATTAGTTACCACACACGTGTAATTTCCCTGATTATCTGTAACAGCATGTTCAATTACCATGATTGAGTAATCTTTTTCTTGTTTTATTCTTATGTTTGTATTTTCTGTCATCGTTTCGCCATCTTTCAACCATTTAAATGTTAGTGGTCCATTGGATGACACAACTAAACAAGTAGCAATAGTTTTTTCGCCAATGGGAACTCGTCGTTGAAAGTTAAATGGTTCAATTTTTGGAGGATCTGTTGTTTAAAGAAATTTTCTGTCTATAGGTTATTCAAACCGATTACTTCACTTTAAAACTGTATAAATTTTGCGAACTTACCTTCACCTACAACTCTCTTGAATGACAACAACATTAGAAAAATGAAACCGGAATTTGCAATTGCTTCTGTCCAGATCATTATCTCTAATAATTTGTTCTGAATTCTTAATGCATTCATCTGACAAAAGTATGTTTAAAACACATCTAAAACATTCCAAGAGCTGAGAACATAAAACCTTAAATAATCGCGAAGCACAATGGCGATTTCTGAACAAACTATAGAACGACTCGAACGCCACTCATCGCACAAAATAGTAAGCTAATTGTTAGAAAATACGACGATATCCAACACAATGTATTTTTCTTAAATAATTTTTTGTAGAAAAGTAACATAATTGCATAAACTCAAAGTTATATTGTGTACCACTTTAGGCATCATAAGTTATAAAACACAACAATATATTTGTGCATTTTAATCAGATATTCCAATTCTAAAGCTTTATCGGAGAAATATTTTATGAGATTCACATTAACTAAACATAACAGTTTTAACTGTATTACGTACTATATAAGGTTTATATTTTTGTATATTGTTATAGTTCATTGTAATGTAAAATTTTCTTACCATATATTTTAACACTGATATTTTTTTTGATTGAAGGCATAATTCCATTGTCGGCTTCGCACTGGTATATTCCTTGGTCTTTTTCATTTGTCTCTTTGATCAGAACAGAGCCATTTTTGTTTGAAGATAAAAGCTTGCTATTGCTATTGTCTTAAATTATAAATGTTTAAAAATTCGTATATTATATAAGACATTAATATAATTTAGTATTTAAACATACCTTCAAATCGTCTCCAGATAATTTTAGGTTCGGGTGAACCAGAAGCTCTGCAATGTAAGTGCATTGGTTCACCTAACATGTTAGTTATATCAAAAGGTTCCTCTAACCATGATGGAGAAGCTGAAACATCATTTATGGTATATGCATGATTAAATACTTTTTAAAATATATAGTGTTAAATCTTATGTCAAAACAAATCAAACCTTCAACTTCAAGTTGCGCTGTAAAAGAATTTACATACGTTCCACTTCTCACCACACAAGTATAATTACCTCTACTATCTAGCTTCACTGAATCAATTTTTATAACAGAATAATCTAAATCGTGTTTTATTTTTATTTCATCCGACTTATTAATGGTTTCACCATTTTTTAGCCAAGTAAATGAGACATGTTTAGTTTTTGATGTTACTGCACATAAAGCAGTTGTTGTTTCACCTATTGGAACTCTTCGAAAATTAAAAGGCTCGATTTTAAGAGGATCTACAAATAAATAAAAATTATATCGAAATCGTTATATATAGGCCTATATATATAAATTTTTCTTACATTTTACAAGTTTTAAAAATAGAATTTACATAAAAAATTTATCTTACCTTCAGACAACATTGCTGTAACGAGGACTAAAGATGTTTGTATTATTAAACAAGAGCACTTGAATATCGATATTAAAAGCATATTCATAATCCGTTATAGGAATTATTTTCACTATTAAACACACTTTTGAATATGAACAGACATTTCAGCAGATTTTCATCTTTCAATCTAGCGTGTAAGCACACATGAAAACACAGACTTTGTTATAATGGCGACTTTGAAGTCGAGTTAAAATCAAGAAAACAGCGCCACCCAATGTTCGAAATCATAAATATAGCATAAATACTAGCTAAATCATAAAAGTTATAGTCTTAACCTTTAAATTACTACGATAGCCAGTGTTGTTTCAGTATTAACTACACCATAGTTCAATAATATAAAATTATAGTAAATATAAGCTAAGATCTGGTGTCAAATTAGTAGTTAATAGATATTAACCATATATAATTGAGTATGACTTATATTCGAATAGACAAGGTAATGGATCCGGGCTAGGGAACATCGAATTTCAGAACCCTCTCGTACAGAGAAGTAGACCGGGAGGCGGCAAGGGCGGCTTTCCTTAGGATGGTGGAAGCCATNAATCTTACTTTTAAGTTTTTTCCATAATATTTGAGGTTTAGGAGAGCCATTAGCTTTACAACGTAATTCTAATTCGTTACCTAAAATTGCGATTTGGTCTTGTGGTTCTTCTCTCCATGTGGGTGCATCTGAAATTTTATGCGTAAATTATATATTTGATATTTAACACATTGTATTAATTTATCGACTTTAATTCAACACGAAAGAAATATTTCTGTAGATTACAGAAATGTCTTACCTTCAACGAAAAGTTCTGTAGTGTAGGCATCACTTCCGAAATTGCCATTCACTTTACAGGTATAGTTTCCTTGACTCTGTATTTTAACAGGATCGACAATAATAACGGAATAATCTTTTTCGTGTTTTATGCGTATTTCAGAATTATCAGGTACAGTTTTTCCATCTTTTGTCCATGTAAACGATAGAGATTCGTCAGAAAATAAAACTAGACACGTAACTGTAGCTTTTTGCCCAACTCGAATATGACGAGGGAAATTGAAAGGCTGAATTTTCGGAGAATCTGTCGTATAAAATCATCTTTTACGATGCGAAGTTTAAATTCAAAAATTAAATTTGAAACTCACGTAAAGAACCTACCATTGCTTTGAACTTTGCAGCAAAACAGAGTAAAGATATTTATAAATATCCATAGTTCATATTCCATAATTGTTAAAATTAAGTTAGTAAGAAACAAAACACATCGCTGAACTGCTAATACATTACTCCTGATAAAATGGCGTTCTCAGCAACTAACAAAGCCCCGTCAGTCGAAAGCGCCTCTCAACGCTCAAAAATTGAAACAAATTTGCAAAAAAATTATACCACTGCAGTATGATACCAATTGCAATTTTAAGATATTTGTTTGTTTTTAAATTGAATTACGACTAGGTCTTTCTATATAATTTAATTTTTCAAAAAATTTTGGAATTTACTATATGCAAATATAATTTTAAATAGAAACTATTGTATATTATTATTTTTTTTTTAGTTTTTTTTTCTCTGGAAGAATTTTATGTTCCTGTATTATATTAGGAGTTACGACGCTATTGGTTTATTTTTCTTTTTTAGATTTAATTTTGAGTAATTCATGAATAAATTAAATCTTTGATGTTCCGATTATATCATTATTACATTACTTTAAATATATGATATTACATATACCGATTAACAAAGTTAATATAAGCTCACGAAAATGGTGCGTTAATCGAAATATCACTAAACGAATAATATAATCAATATAAATTAATGTAATTAATCTCGAGACTTTTAAAATGTTTACTAACTTTTTAAGATATTTTTAAAATTGTTGTTATTAATGGAATATAATCGCAAAGCATAAGAACATATGCAATAGGCTTATCTATAAAGTTATTAAAGAGCTTAGAACAATATTGTTATATTATATTTAAACAAACTTGAAAAATTAGGCTACTAATATTTAGAAAGGGTAGTTTGGATTATCATTTTTCCTCTTTTATATCTTTTTCAGAGTAGCCGCTTATTGCTTCCTTCATATTTTGACGAATTTGAACACTATTATTCAATCTCAGGATCAGAAGGTCAGAATCTAAACACTTTTTCAGATCTCCACTCGGATATTAATTTAGATAATTTTAAAATTGCTAATTTAAAAATTTGAATTTTTAAAATCAAAATGAATTTTTTGATTTTGAAATTGTAGTTGGTACCATACTGCAGTAGTAAAAAATGAAATTATAGAGCTCTGAGCTTAATTATTATTTAATTTAATTCATTATAAATATTAATTTATTTATGCAGAAAAATATCGGCGGTAATTTTTATTCAAAAATATTAAATTATCAAAAACTGATAATTTCATAAAATACGGCCGAAATTCGTCAAACCGTTTGGCCGTGGCAATCAATTTTTTCTTCGGCCAGTTTAGAGAAATTAGCGGTAAATTTGATTAGATAGCATTTCTGTTTGTTATGCGTTCATCGTCATTTGAACTGTTCGCCGAATGTGCTGGTAGCTTGAAAATATGAATTTACCATCAAAAATAACATCGCCATTTAAAACATGTTATGAATTTATAAACAGTGTTAATTTAAGAAACGCGTTAATAGAGGAATTAGAGTTCTACAGGTTGGTCCATAAGTGGTGCATCATAGGATTATTTTCATAGGTCTTGTAAGTGTTCAAATTTACCCGATTAGCTTTTATTCGGGCTTGATAGGATAATATGACATTGTTTTGTTATCGCATCCTTCAATTCGGCAAGAGTATGTGGCCTAGTGTACAGTACCAAACATGAACACCAGCTCTACTTATTCCTCCTTTAGTCGCCCGTAATTCAATCTGAAAAGAAAAAAAAAAACTTAAATATAGTTAAAAGTTAAACCCAATAGCACGTGACTTATGGACCATTCTGTGTACAACTACATATTTAGATATGACGAATATAGAATTCATTCCTTTTGCAGGATTAGAATAATGTTATCTTCAGTAATGAAACTTTGGAAAGTTTTACTATTAAATCAGTATATCAAAATGTTTGTTTTACTATTCTTGTTAGAAATATATTTATGAATAAATTAGATCTAAAAGTTACTTTTATTTATTTGAGAAACTAGATACTAATTCATCAAGTAAAGGTAATTGTTATTTGTAAATGTAATCATTGGATTTTTAAGATTTTCAAAAATTGATTTGATATTTTACCTGAAACTAGCAAGCTATGATTTGTATGACAGGCTTTAGTCCTGTCCATATGATAAGGTCTGACTCTCATAGAGATCGAAGAACTTAGATGACATATGGGAAATGACCTTCCGACTAGACTGCTCATTAAAAGTAACGACAGTCCTTAGGGGCAAGAGGCCTCGATTAGCTATATACGAACTTCCGATGCAAACTGGAAGTAACGTTATTTCAATTTAAAACTTCCCCCTGGAGGTGTTAGATAGATAACCGGCACGACTCTATTGTCAAAGGAAAAGTATGATGTACAGGGGCAAGTCACTACTAATTTGAGGTGGAGAGCATATATTTTAAAATTGCAGCCCGACATTGTAACGACGTCACAATAAATAATTGTTCGTTATATTTTAATTTATTTTTGTAAAAATGTATTAAATTATAATGCTTCTTTTTATGTTTTGTTTTGTGTTGTATTATCATTGTTAAATTACAGAAAGTGTTATTCATATAAAATTATGATAATTCGCAAATTTCTATTCTATATACATGAAAACATTTTTAAACATTCGTCGTAGTACTTTTTTTCCTTCAATTTTTGAGTGGTCAATACGATATAATATCAAATCGGTTATTGTTGAAAATTCGAAGCGGTTGTTCGTATATTGATAATATAATTAACCGAAATAATAAATGCTTCTTCTATTCTGATTCGGTTTTGATAGGATAAGGCGACGAAAGATCTGGGCGATCTTTCAAGAGAGGTGGACTTTCTATAGGAAATTGTCTCTATTTAGGTGTGACAAACGTGAAGAAAATCCGAAAATTCCACGTAGTCAGATCGTTACAGGCGCGAATTCGCGACTAGCTACATTCATCGATAAAAAACAAAAGTTATGCACGAAGAAGGACGCGTTAAAATCGAATAAAACTTTTATTAATGGAAACGTAATGTAGTAATGGTAACAAGTGATTAGAATATTATAGCAAAGGGACAACTTCCTGTCTAACAATGGAAACTTTAGTAGCATTGTTGGATTAGACCCACGGATTTAAATTACTCCATAGGCTGAAATAAACTTACATCCATAAAAACAAAAATTAAACCCATGGTACTTGAATACAACCAAGTGGGTGTTTATTCGAATCAAGTTTTTCAAGGTACAGATTATTGTAAACAGCCCATTCAATATTGTAATTGTGTAATGTATTACATTTCTTATCGTCTGTGTTTATTTTTTTAGAATTATTTTTTGGTTTCATTTAACGATCCGTGCGGTCATTCACACCAACACATACAAAAACTGATTTTGAAAAATAGCCCCACAGGCTTTAATAAATCTATACCCCAAACGGATTTTAAAAAGTAGATTTACAATCGGTCTGTTCGAATGCATACGGTAACTCGTAAAACTTCTCTTGCCTGGATACATGTTGCGATATAGTCGGGAGGTATACATGCACAGTATGCTATCCTGCGATAGATTTGCCCACAGATGTTGCAACTGCCGCTCCAGGTACTATAATCTGCAATGTGAGAAGTTGTCGGACGGCATTTGATGACATCACGTCGTAAGTTGAAATCGAACATCAACTAGTTTACAATTCCATTCGGTGACAGGGACGACTTTATAAAGTTACCGATTCCAGGCCAAACAACTTCCGCATTTATTTAGTCAATAAGAAAGCACGATATAAACCGAAGGAATTGCAAGTGGAGTTGTTTAGTAATATGGCGGAGAAGCTAGTAACAGCGAGGCAGCTCGAACTAGCGATTAATTTTTTAGACGAACATAAAATGTATCTGGAAAATTTGATATCTCATTTACAGCAAAAGATTGGTCAAATTATGGGAGCATTTCAATATTTTACTGAACGCTGATGACATTGGTTTTCTAAAACCGCGGATAAATAGAGAAAAGTAAAGATAGATTNACATGATCTAATCCATGCTCTAATTCACCTGTCATACATGAATGGGCAAACTGGTCACGCATGCGCAACTTGAGTTGTATAAATCCATTCAAACTTTAAACAACATGTTGACCGAATGGATTTTTAATGGATATCGAACATCTATCTAGAAACTGTTTGGAACCTGAAGCAGAGCCCAGATGGTGTTTGAAAACGTTCATTTATCAATCTTTTTACGTGATCACACCATAAATGGTTCTGGTGCATATATCCGGTGTAATGAATAGTGAATTATCATATATGGGAAAGCTTGTCCCTGACAAGAGCACTCAGAAAAAAACTATGTGAATCATAAAAAAACTCTTGTAATGTGCAATTAAGTCTTTGGTAAGCAAACTTAAAAATTCATTTACAAAGTTATATTAAAAATATGTGTTCGTATCAAATGAAAATATAAAATATCAATCAATAGTCTATAACCAAATGATATAATTTATGAAACTTTTTTCATAGACATAGAATGATTTCAAAAGTAATGTGAAACAAAAAGCGTTGATGAGAAAAAATCGTCTGGAAAGACTGGTGGTTAGGTTAGCGAGTGGCCTTGCGAATTGTTAGTGAGAAGGCGAGAAGAATTGAATGTAACAGATTATCAAGTGACACTCGGAAAGTCACTTCTCACACTGCAGACTTAACTACAGTGAGAAGTTCTACCGAGATAATGACATATCCATCCCTTCAGATATCACGAGTCGTATTTGGCAAATATATCTCACAGAAGACTAGAGTACCAGATCACTCGTAGATTTTCAGCACTTTTTTAAGCAATTAAGGAGCCAATTGCAGCTCCAGATCCTCGAATTGCCGAATCCTGGTCTAGATCATACAGTCGTTGTCATCAGTATCATCTTATTTAACTCTTATCTAGAAATCTTGATCGGGCAGTGAAGCATACGATCTCCACAATTGTTTTTCTTTCCACAGCTCCTTCAAAGACACATTTTATGTCTTTTTTATTTCTTCTGCATGGTTTTGTCATTTCTACTATGGTATTCTATCAAATGATTTTATTGATGCGAAAGCGTTAGCGAAGCCTCTTCTATGTAGCTTACAAAATTGCGTTCGATTTCAGCATTTGACGGGCCGAATTTGAGAAAATTTTGCCATTTCGAGTAATTGCGATGACGAATATAAAAATGTAACGATGGCCCTTTTAAATGTAAAAAATAGAAGTCCATGATTATGTTTTTAATATACAGTGGGATCAAAGTGACAATGTCCGTGTTCCCTGAAGCTCAGTCGCTTCAGGGAACACGGAACTTTAAAATTAAGGAAGGACTTTAAAATTAAAGAAGAAAAATAAAAAACAGCATTGCATGTGTCTAACAGAAAATAGGCACGAAAACGCCTCTACCTGTCAACAAGTGCAAGGATCGTCTCTCCGTACCCGCTCAGTGGAAGGATCGCATCGCCCATGGCCGGCAGATACGAGGATCGCCTCTTTTATGGCGGAAAGTGCAAAGTTCGCGTGTTTACGACCATCACGAACAAGGGTCACCCTTCTGTGCCTAACAACTACTGTACAAGGATCGCTTCTTTCTGGCTTCGCCTCAATTCTGTCGCCATACGACAAAGTCGCGCGATGTCCTAATAATAAATATTAGATTATTGTGGAGGGTAAAAACTGATCGGATTGGATTAAAAATCTGCTGCCTACAGAGCCTGAAATATGCGTCGCCCCTATATAAACTTATTATTTAAGAATTAGTATGAATTAAAAATTAAATTAAATTCCGTTAAGCTTATACAATAATTTATTATTATGTAATTTTGCTTTTGTATACGCAGATTTATATCTGCATATGCAAAAGCAAAATACTTGATGATTAATTTTCTAATTGATAATAATATACAGTAGAGCATCGATTATCCGACCCCCGATTAACCGTCACCTCGGTTAACCGACCGCGTTCTAGTCGGCAAATTCAAATGTCCGCTAGTGATGTGGCGCTACAATATTTGGCTATGTCTTGGCTACTTTAATATTATTTTTACGTGTTTTAGCTGGCAACACTGGATCAACCATGAAAGGGAGCCAGTATTTAAACGAGGCTAAATTTTCTAATTTTTAACGATACAATAGCGACGATTATTATTTAAAAAAAAATTTTGTTAGGCTTAGCATCGATGAAAATTAAACGCGAAGTAGATTAATAGCGATATACTAATATACTAATTACATGGGATATAATAATATACTACACTAATAATGGATTGTTTCATACTTTTCGGTTATCCGACTTTTCAATTATCAGACCAACCCCAGTCCCCAATTGAGTCGGATAATCGAGGCTCTACTGTATTTAAATGATTATGCATCTAAAATTGTTCAGCGCTAGAACAACAAACATAGAGTACAGAGTAAACGTAAACGTAAACGTGCCTTTAATAGTCACACTATAATAATGTTATAGATAATGCTAGACTAAATATCCATCGGTTTTGCAGTGACCGTCAAAATCGCTGCGAAGATTTTGAGTGTGTATGCTGCCTAATAATTTTATGCACTAGGCACAATAACATACAACTTTTCGTTAAAATTGCAAAATTTAATTATTACTACTTGCATTTAATTTATTTTGTATGTATTGGATTTACAACAAATCAAATTATATTAATTATATAATAATTTACTTATGAGTAAAGGTTCAGAAAAAATTTCCACCCTATATAATTTTTTTTTTGAT